ACAAGCAAACACACACACACTAGCCACCTTTAAGTCCTAGATCCCAGGCTAGATCATCAATGTACTAAGAATTATCAGAGCTTTTAGGTCACTGGTTCTCAACCAGGGGCAAATTTGACCCATGGGGGATATGTGGCAATGTCTGGAGACATTTCTGATTATCATGCTCGGTAGGGAAGGGGCTGCAATCACCATGTAATGAGTAGAAGCCATGGATATTTACAACATCCTACAGGCAAGGTACCATGGCTCACATCTGAATTCCCAGCACTTTGAGAGGCCAAGGTGGGTGGATCACTTGAGCCCAGGAGTTTGAGGTCAGCTTGGACAACATGGCAAAACCCCATTTCTACATAAAATACAAAAATTAGTCAGGCATGGCCTGCACCTGTGGTCCCAGCTACTTGGGATGCTGACGTAGGAGAATCCCTTGAGCCTGGGAAGTCGAAGCTGCAGTGGGATGTGATAGCACCACTGCACTCCAGCCCAGGTGACAGAGTTAGACCCTGTCTCAAAAGAAAAAAGAAACATCCTATAATGCATGGGACAGTCTGCCACAACAAAGAATCATCTAGCACAAAATGTCAATAAACCCTATTCTAGGTGGACCATGATGAAGGGTCAAAAGAATGCATGTCACTTTCCACATTAGATCTAGAAAAAGCCATTTGGTCCCTCTAATTGAAACCCATCAAACGACATTCCAAAAAAAAAAAAAAAAAGAAAGGCCTATTAGACATAGAGGTTCATTTAACTTCCAAGTCCAACTAGGACTAAGGTGTTTCATGCCACTCCAACTTTGGCTCCTCCGTCACCTGCTGTAGGCATTCCGCTGAAGAGGAGGTGAAGCAGGGCTACACTCACTTCTGTCCCATCCCAGGAGGTATACTAGGACCTAGTTCAATCTGGAGTTCTATAATCCTCTGCAAGACAGACACAAAGGATCCTGCTCGTAAGCCTCAGGGCCATCTTTAAAGTCTTAAAACTAGAAAAGTAGCAGACTCTCCTTGTTAGGTTACTAATCAGACTTACACTGCTTATTCAATGAAGCAAAATATAGAAATATGTAAGTTCCTCGAGGCCATGTCCTTGGGAGAAATATGAGGATACTGACATGCAGCTTAAGAGGCAGCCTTCTCCACTTAATGCAACCCTGATGAGAGTTCCAAGAATCTATCTCTACAAGCAATAAACAAAAATTAGCTGGACATGGTGGGACACACCTGTGGTCCCAGCTACTCTGGTTGCACCACTACACTCCAGCCTTGGGAGCAGAGTAAGATCTTGCCTCAGAAAAAAATGTGATAAATCTTATGTTCAACTAATTAGTAAAGTTAGGGGAAAAAAGCCAGGCAAGGTGGCTCACAGCTGTAATCCCAGCACTGTGGGAGGCCGAAGCGGGTGGATCACTTGAGGTAAGGAGTTCAAGACCAGCCTGGCCAACATTGTGAAACCCCGTCTCTACTAAAAATACAAAAAGTGGCTGGGCATAGTGGCTCGTGCCTATAATCCCAGCTGCTCCGGAGGCTAAGACAGGAGAATGGCTTGAACCTGGGAGGCAGAGATTGCAACTTTATGTCACTAAACTCCAGCCTGGGCAATAGAGTGAGACTCTGTCTCCAAAAAAAAAAAAAAAAAACCCATGACCAGTTTCCTCTAAAACCAAAATATACTCATATTTCTGTGGCAGTGAAGCAAGGGAGCTCAACTTAAAACATACAGAAATTTTAGGTATCAGAATGGTGAGGAGAATGTAACCCCGAAAACAGATTAGAAATAATTCAAGTCTGGGTATCTGAAACATTGCCAAATACCAAGAGACAAAACTCCAGTACACAGAAAGTCCTGATCCCACTGACTGGTCTGACTCCATTTGAGATAGTAACACATGAATTCTCTCGTACAGTTTCCCAAGAATAATTGATTCCGATGAATTGCTATATTCCTGGAGTTTTGCTTTTTTCTTTAGAGAAGTCCAGGTCAGCCAACTCTATAAGCATCTTCAGGATTTCCTCCTGATTGGTCCTTCTCTACTGTGTTTCTATTTCCAAGCAAAATCTGGTCTCATCCCAACCAGGAATATCTGTATTTTTTTAGGTACTTGGCTCTCACAGAAGCCCTTAGGGGAAAGCCACATGAAATATATAAAAAAGAGTCATATCTTAGGCCGGGCGCAGTGGCTCACACCTATAATCCCAGCACTTTGGGAGGCCGAGACGGGTGGATCACGAGGTCAAGATATCGAGACCATCCTGGTCAACATGGTGAAACCTCGTCTCTACTTAAAAAAAAAAAAAAAAAAAAAAACTACAAAAATTAGCTGGGCATGGTGGCGCATGCCTGTAGTCCCAGCTATTCGGGAGGCTGAGGCAGGAGAATTGCTTGAACCCAGGAGATGGAGGTTGCGGTGAGCCGAGATCGCGCCATTGCACTCCAGCCTGGGAAACAAGAGCAAAACTCCTTCTTCAAAATAAAATAAAAAAGAGTAATATCTTGAAATGAAAATGACAGTCATCTCCTCCAAACAGGGATATTTGTAATTTAATAGAATTGGAGCTGACTCTTTCCGAAGTCCTGAAAGGGAAAGTCATGCAGAAGAACTACAAAAAAAAAGCGGTGTCCTGAAACTTGAAATAAAAGCTATGTGGGAAATCTTAAAGATGGCTAAGAGTACATCAAGAGTTTTCTTGCGGGTGAGACTAGGAAATGTAATCAAATATCTGGAAGTCAAAGTTACGTTGTATGTTTTCAAAAGAATGATGCCAGGAACCCCCCAACAGCTGGAAGAAAGAGAAAGAGGAAAGGTTTCCCATGGGAGGAAGGTGCCCCAGTAACCTTCCAAGGCCAACATTTAGCAATGTACTAGAATAAAGTCTTCCATATGTTAAAAAAAAAAAAAGTTTGAGAGCTGACCAAGAAGACCAGACAATAACAAACCAAAGCTGGGGGACTGTCCCAAGACATCTAAGTCTCCTCTTTCCCCTCCTATCTCCGATTAACTAAAGACAGTGATTGCAATAGATCTCATGCACTCAGATGAGTGAGTGAAAACTCATTTTCCCTGGCATTCTTCTCCTCATTAATGGACCCAACCTCAAAACAACTCTCATGCTATTTCCATTCCCTTCCGTTGTTTGAAAACAATAAAAAAGTTCCAGACTTACCTCTGCAAGAAATTTAATTTCCCAGGTCTCTTCCTAGCACAAGTTTCACAGCCAGCAGCAAAACAAAAACAAATAAGGAGGGGAAAATAATTAATTCCAAGTTTTACTTTGAAATCTCAAAGGCCCACAGAATTAGTTAATCTTGTTGCAAAAATACACAAGCCTAAAGCCATTTAGAGAACTCGCCCCCAACAAGTCCCCAGGCTTCCCTAACTCTCGATTAGTCAATTTACAAAAACAATACCAACTCCAAGAATTTCCAGTCTCATGGCTTGCGGCAAGAAAGTTCCCACATTTAAGAATTTCTGGGAAAACCAATTACCCTCTCACACCTTCTCATCTTCCTCAATTCCTTATTCCTATTTTGTTACAATATTAACATTAACTTTCATCTTTAGAAAAAACTGGGAGGAAAGTGGTTACAGCCAAGTAAGGCATTTTCTTTCCCACTACTTTCACATAGCAGACCAGCACTATCCTCCAAATTTTGCCTTTGGCCCTTTCCCTTAACTTGCATACAATGAGAAGAAAATATCCAATGGGGCAGCATCCACTCATACATCTATGTTCACCAGGGAAAGTTTTTCCACATACAGTACGCATGTTACCCCCTCCCTCCTAGACGTAAACAGCAAAATGGTCTGGAAACTACAGCACTCATTTAGCCTGTCTAGATGCCACGCTATCTTTTCTCTTTCCCTCCCTCAGACCTCCAGAGCCTCCACCTTAGCATATAGGATTCCAATATAGCCATGTCTGCTCCCCAACTCTTGTACGGCTAATGCTAAAAACTAGAAAAGTCCTTTGCTCCTCCACACTTGGGCGACACCGGTTTTCCCATTTTCCCAACCAGGAAAAACAAGGGAACAGTAAGCTAGGGAGTCTTTTGGAAAACAAACCCAGCTGAATTCTCATCCAACCCCAATTCTGCAAACCCACATGACCATTCCCTTCTGCCCTTCCCACCCTCTTAAAAGCTAAGGGCCTGGCAATTAGAATTGGCTGCAACTGATGCTGCTTAACTCTGTTCTCTCCTCCTGGGCACCGGGAAAAGGGAAACCCCCGAACCTCCATCACCCGTGCAGCTCCACTGTCCTATCTCCCATTCCATTCCCCTTCCTCCCAAACTTTCCAGTCTCTCACTTTCTCCATTACCTCCTCCCACCGACACTCTCTCCATTCCCCAAACCTCCGTTCTCTCCTTTTCCACCCAAATTCTCCCCTAGGCCCTTCCCCCTCCCACCTCCAATTCAGCACTTTCGAAGCCCCGCAGAAACGTCTCAACTCCAATTCTCACCTTTCCCCACCTTCTCGCAACACCCCACATGAGTCCAGTCCTCCCTCCAACCACATGCCACGGCCCCCTTTCCCTTCACACCCTCAGCCTCTCCCTCCTGCTCCTACCCGCTTCCACACGACCGGATCGCAGCCCCACTCCCCACATCGGCCTCTCTAATACCCCTAGCCGGGCCCAGTCTCAGCCCTTGTTTACGCCCCTCCCCATGCCCTCACTCCTCCGCCTCGACCCCTGCCCTCTCCCGCAGTTGCCATCTCCCCTGCACGCCCCCCTCGGCAGCTCCCCTCCCCCACCTCTCAGCGTCCCGTCACCTCTCTCTCTAGAGGTTCTCAGGCTGGACGTCGCCACCGCCTCCCCCTCCACTTTCCTTCCCCAAGCCCTTTGCGGCCCCGCCCGGCCCCGCCCCGTCCCGCTCGACTCCCTCTCCCCACTCCGGCCGCCCCTCCGCCTCACTCTCGGCTCAGGCTCTGCGCCGCCATGTTGGATCCATCCGCGCCGCGCTCCCGGGCCTGTCTCACGGCGCCGCATCCGGGCTCCAGCCGCCGCCGCCGCCGCCGCCGCGGGCGTAGGGGAGGGGAGAGGCGGGCGGGGGTGGCTGCATCCTGAACGGCGCCTCCCGGAACCTGGCCGGTTAGTGGCGGCTTCGAGACCATAGTGAGACATGAGCCGGAGTAGCCATAGTAAGTGAGGGCAGCCTGGCAGCGGCATTAAGCGGGGAGTGGATAGCTTCACTTCGGGTGGAGAGATAGGGATTGGCAGCCATCTTGCTTTGGGGCAAGCTGGCAACGCCGGTTTTTCTTGACGGCTGCTTAGGGCGGTAATAAGGGATGGGAGAGGATAGCATTCTTGAATGTGGAAATCTTGGTGGCGCCACAGCTGGCTGGTGGCGACTTCAAGACCCACTGAAAGGCTGGGATTTGCAGCCATGACTCATAAGGGCGGAATAGCACGGGGATCGGTTTGCCTGACGAACTTGAGTGAAGGGTCAAGATCTGGATTTCACCTTTTCTCTGAGCTTCCTGATAACCCGGACGTTCCGTAAACCCGGATCCGGAGCTGAAAGCGCTGCCCAGATCCCGTCTCGGAATTCATTCGTTCAGCATTTACCTTTTGAACGCCGGCTTCCTGTAGGAAGTGTCGCCTAGCTGATCCGTGTAGGGCTGTTGGGAATTGGGGGTGGGGAGGGTGCTGCGGGTAAGTTCTGGAGCAGCCAACAGCCTGATGTGGCTTAAGAAGAGGTAATAGATAGGGGGAGACCAGATTATGCCAAGCCTTGTAAATTAATTGATTTTTATCCTTAAGGCAACGAAAAGTCTTTGAAGAATCTCAACAGAGGTGCGAACAATGTTATTTGCATTTTAGATCGCTGCGTGCAGTGTGAAGGATGAATTGAGGGATAAAGTGAGAAGCGAGGAGAACAACTAGGCTCTTTTCCAGGCAAGAGATGATGATGGTCTGTCTTGTGGAAGGGAGAGTGCAGATGGGGAGAAATAAATTGGATTAAGAGGTATCAATGTTCTGACTTGGACAACTGGGGAATAATGATACCATTTCCTTTCTCGTTTAGGGGGAGATAATGAGTTTTGGGTGCCCCTGGGATACTAGCTAGTGCGTACTGGGAACCCAAAAGAAAGGGTTGAGGTGTGTGTGCGTGTGCATACAGGTAGCTGTTGAAGGCATGAAGTTGGCTAGAGAGAAGGATACCTGCATTTGCTGATAGGATGAGGGAAGCCGAAAAGAACACCTGAGAAGGGGCAAACCGAAAGGAAAGAAGAAAACCATAGAGAACTATCAAAGAAACTGGTTAAAGCATTTAGTGTAACAGAGATAAGGTAAAATGCAAACTAAAATATATCCATCAGGGCTGGATATGGTGGCTCACACCTGTAATCCTAGCAGTTTGGGAGGCACAAGTGGGTGGATCACTTGAGGCCAGAAGTTTGAGCCCAGCCTGCCCAACATGGTGAAACCCTGTCTCTACTAAAAATACAAAAGTATCTGGGTGTGGTGGCACATGCCTATAATCCCAGCTACTTAGGAGGCTGAGGCATGAGAATTGTGTGAACCTAGGAGGCAGAGATTGCAGTGAGCTGAGATCTTGCCATTGCACTCCAGCCTGGGCAACAGAGTTAGACCCTGCCTAAAAATAAATAAATAAATGAATAAATAGGCCAGGTGCTGTGGCTTACACCTGCAATCTCAGCACTTTAAGAGGCCAAGATGGGCAGATCACTTGAGGTCAGGAGTTCAAGACCAGCTTGGCCAACATGGTGAAACCCCTTCTCTACTAAAAATACAAAAATCGGCTGGGCGCGGTGGCTCATGCCTATAATCCCAGTACTTTGGGAGGCCAAGGCAGGTAGATCACGAGGTCAAGAGATCGAGACCATCCTGGTCAACAAGGTGAAACCCCATCTCTACTAAAAATACAAAAAATTAGCTGGGCATGGTGGCGCGTGCCTGTAATCCCAGCTAACTCAGGAGGCTGAGGCAGGAGAATTGCCTGAACCCAGGAGGCGGAGGTTGTGGTGAGCTGAGATCGCGCCATTGCGCTCCAGTCTGGGTAACAACAGCGAAACTCCGTCTCAAAAAAAAAAAAAAAAAAAAAAAAAAAAAAAATCAGCCAGGCATGGTGATGCACGCCTGTAGTCTCAGCTACTGGGGAGGCTGAGGCACAAGAATCACTTAAACCCAGGAGGCGGAGGTTGCAGTGAGCTGAGATGGCTCTCTGTCTCAAAAAAATAAGTAAATAAAATGTATCTATCAGATATTGCAAGAAGGACCAGGCACAGTGGCTCACACCTGTAATCCCAGCACTTTGGGAGGCCTAGGCAGGGGAATCGCTTGAAGCCAGGAGTTGGAAACCAGCCTGGCCAATGTGGCAAGACCCCATCTCTAAAAAAATACAAAAATTAGGCAGGGGTGGTGGTGTTCACCTGTGATCCCATCTACTCTGGAGGCTGAGGCATGAGAATCACTTGAACCCAGGAGGCAGAGGTTGCAGTGAGTGGAGATCATTTCACTGCTCTCCTTGTAACAGAACAAGACTTTTTTGTTTGTTTGTTTGTATTTAAAAAGGCCAGGCATGGTAGCTCACACCTGTAATCCCAGCACTTTTGGAGGTCGAGGTGGGCTGATCACCTGAGGTCAGGAGTTCGAGACCAGACTCACCAACATGGTGAAACCCCTGTCTCTACTAAAAATACAAAAATTAGCCAGCATGGTGTCAGGCACCTGTAATCCCAGCTACTTGGGAGACTGAGGTGGGAGAATCACTTGAACCCAGGAGGTGAAGGTTGCAGTGAGCGGAAATTGCACCAATGCCCTCCGGTGAGACTCTGTCCCCCAAAAAAAGAAAAAGATACTGCAACAAGGAGGTCATTTAGGAAATTTGGAGAAAGCTGTTTTGTAGTTATGGTGGATAGAAAACAGATTGAATTGAGAAGGCACAACATATAAAGACAGCTTTTTTTCATGGTGTTGGTGTAAAAAGACTAGTGGTACGGTATTGCAAGAGGGAGAATTCCAAAGAAAGGGAAGAAGTTTTAGCTACCTGTGTGGTAGCTAGATAGATATGGCCTAATGGCATGTTTAATATGCAGATCTAAAATGTAAGAGAAAAATATAAGTGGAGAAAAAAGGAAATACAGAATAAATATGACACATTTACACATGCATTAAAAAAATTATGAAGAGCAGGCCTAAGAGGGATGAGACTTATACTTTTCATTTTACATCTATCTTTATTGCCTGAAATTGTTTTACTATGCACATATCATTTATAAAAAACAATTTTTTTTTTTTTGAGACGGAGTTTCGCTCTTGTTACCCAGGCCGGAGTGCAATGGCGCGATCTCAGCTCACTGTAACCTCTGCCTCCCAGGTTCAAGAGATTCTCCTGCCTCAACCTCCCGAGTAGCTGGGAATACAGGCATGCACAACCATGCCCAGCTAATTTTTTGCATTTTCAGTAGAGACAGGGTTTCATTATGTTGGCCAAGCTGGTCTGGAACTCCTGGGGGATTACAGGTGTGAGCCATGGTGCCTGCCCAGAAAACTACTTTTTAGAAAGTCCTATGATATATAGTCCAGAAATCCTGAAAATTCAACATTTCAGTGGTAATTGAAGCCATAGATTTGGATAAGCTCCCCAGAAAAGAGCAGAGGGCTAGGAAGAGTACGCTGGTGAATTCCAACATTTAAGGCATAAGTAGAAGAAGAGCTCTTGGAGAATCTTTGAAAAGGAACAACCAAAGAGGAAGAAGAAAACCTGGGAGAAAATTGTCACAGAATCAAAGGGAAGACTATTTCAAGGGGGTGGATGTTGAAAGTGGCAGATGTCCCCAGAGAGGCAACTAATAGGAAAGGTGTTTTTACCTCTGAATCCAGGTTTCTTGGAAGCTTGGCACAAAAATCAAATCCAGATCTTGAACCTTCCCCCAAGTATCACTAGGCAGTACAACCCCCATGCTATTGTGTCCTTATGAATCATGGCTGCCAGTCCTAGTCTTTCAGTGAGTCTTCAAGGCAATACCAGCCAGTACTGACACCATCAATCTTACTACACTCAAGAATCCTACTCTCGCTGGGTGTGGTGGCTCACACCTGTAATCCCAATACTTTGGCCAGGAGTTCAAGATCAGCCTGGGCAACACTGTGAGAGACCCCATGTCTACAATTTTTTTTTAATTAACTGGGTATGGTGGCACGTGCCTGTAGTCCCAGCTACTTGGAAGGCTGAGGAGGATCGCCTGAGCCTGGGGAGTTTGAGGTTGCAGTGAGCCCTGATGGCACCATTGCACTCCAACCTGGGCAACATAGGGAAACCCTGTTTCAAAAAAAAAAAAAAAGAAAAAGAAGAATGCTACTCTCTCCCAGTCCTTACTATAACCCTGAAGCTGCCATCAAGAAAAACCTGTTTTTCTAGAAATGGTGAAATAAGGAATTGAAAGTAGGAGTATTAGTTGGAGTTGGAGGTCAGGAACTATTTTTCATGGGTTTTTCTAAAATTTCCCGGGGTGATAGTAAGGGTTGGTACAAAGAGGTTATTTAATAGGTGCTGAAGGCTGGGTCTGGAGGATCACTTAGCCCAGGAGCTTGAGGCTGCAATGAGCTATGATTCACCACTGTACTCCCCCCAGCAAAAACCAAAGAAAAGAAACAAGGTGCTAAAGGGCAGTAAAGCCAGATGGCATAAGCTTCAAAGGGGCAAGAATTTTTCAAGTGGATGGAAGCACAGTGGCCTGAAAGTAGCAGTGGGTAGCAAAGAGAGGGCTGATACCTTGCCACCTCTTCCTACAGGAGCAAGAATAAACAGCCTGTAGAAGGTTGAAGGGAAAAGGTATTCATTAATTGGAAAAAAAGTCAAAAATTTCACCTCACCTCTGACAATTTTTTCCTCTCTACCCACTGGAATGCTTTTCTTTTGTAAACAACCTCCCTTATATACTCATTGTCTTCACAGATTGCTCCTAAGCTTTTTCTAGAGGAATAGCCATCAGGACAGAGGTAGCTCTGATGTGTGGAATGCAGATGTAATCCACATAAGCCCACAAAACAGGCTTCAAAGGGGCAAGAATTTTTTTTCTTTTTCTTTTTTTTGAGCTGGAGTTTCACTCTTGTTACCCAGGCTGGAGTGCAATGGCACGATCTCGGCTCACCGGAACCTCCACCTCCTGGGTTCAGGCAATTCTCCTGCCTAAGCTTCCTGAGTAGCTGGGATTACAGGCACGTGCCACCATGCCCGGCTAATTTTTTGTATTTTTAGTAGAGATGGGGTTTCACCTTGTTGACCAGGATGGTCTCGATCTCTTGACCTCGTGATCCACCCCCCTCGGCCTCCCGAAGTGCTGGGATTACAGGCTTGAGCCACCGCGTCCGGCCAAGAATTTTTCTTAAAGGACCGGCACTACTTCTTAAAGTAGAATAATGTTCTCCCTCCATATCCATATTGTGAAGTGGTTTGATGGCAGTTCCTTTCCATGAACCCACCTCTCCGCTCCAAACCTAGCCCCCCCCCCCCCCGGCTCCATTCAGAGGATTAGAGAAAGCTGAGCATAGCCTTTTCTTTTTTTTTTTTTTTCTTTAAAATTTTAATAGCCAGCATAGAGAAGAGAAGATTGTCCTTTCTAGTCATAGTATGCTGTCCAGTCTGCATATTGCAGCCAATGGGGGAAAAACAGATAGCTTTTTCACTGAGAATGGAAAGCTGAAGGAAGGGCTGAGATTTGCCTTCATTAGGACCTTAAAGTAATCCCTCTTCCTCTGCAGGACTCACAGAACTCAATTCTTTTCCCTGGGGCCAGACTTGAACGACCAAATTTTCCAAATTCCAAACATTGGGACAGTTGCCTGACCAGCTGTTCCTAAGCTAGTCAGTTTATTTGGAGGGATGTTTTCTGCCTGGGGAGCCTTGGAAGTTCACGCTTTCAACATGA